TCACTCATCTAATGAGATAGAAATGGATGAGGAAGGACTGAGGCTACACAGATCATGTGCTGATATATACTTGGGCAAGCTTTGCTTACCACGGCAGCTCCCTTTGAAATGTCAATTTAGCACAATGTAGCACAGCCTCTGAAGAACTCATTGCTGAAGCAGGGGGCTGAGGCTGCGTTTCATTTCCAAGCAGTTTCGGGATTGCGTCTGCCCAAATGGAAATGCAGCCTGGAAATTCCACAAAATGAACTCCCTACCACATCCCCTTCCCATCATGTGTGTCACCAGAGAAGATAAACCACGCTTTGTAATAGCGCAAACAGAACATATGCATAAAGCAGAAGATAACTCTAAATCTTACCATTGCCTAAATTTATTATACAGTGTAGTAGGTTTTGGCTTCTGAACACAGGACTTTTAAAAAGCACCTAACAAAACTGAAATTGCCTTTTTTTTTTTTTTTTCCTCCAGTATATATCAGCAACATCATGGGGGTGTTTGAAGCTTACCCAGATACACAAACAAAAATGTAAACTTGCAAGTTGCAAAGACTTCCAGTAAAGATATTGTCAGTCACTTGTGCATTTTTAAAAAATGCATTTTGCAATTGAGAAACTGACACAGTCACACTCACTCAAAATGCACTTTTCAGTGTAGGACCACTTAAAAATATTCATAATAAAACCATTTTCTTAATGCTCAGAAACATTTATGATTATTTTGGAAAGATGACTAAGATTCAGAACATAACTAAAGCACAACAGCTTTCCTTTAAATACATATAAACCTTACAGTATTTTAACTGTGATATACAGGAGAATTACCCTTATTCATATATAAAAGTTTAGACATCGTCAGAAAACTAAAACTCAGCTTTCGGAACCTTACAATTGTGCATTAAATGGAGATTTCTGTTTCTCCCTATGAATGTATTCAGACTCAAAAAAGCTGATAGACGCTATGATGAAATTCTGGAGTTTCCCATTTTGGCAGCACATGCTCTGAATGATTTATGTAAGGTTTCTTTTTCTTTCAAGGATGAAGGTCAATGGTCTGTTGGGCAGACCAGTTAGTACTAGTTGTATACACCCCAGGTGAAAATTAGTTCAGGTAAAAACAGCAATAAAATATTACATCTTTCCACAATACTTAAATTTAAATTAATACCTTAATACCTTAATACAACTGAGAATCATTCATGTGCCTGTGGATAGTTGGGTTTATATTTTTTCTAAGTTACCACTGAATTTAGGTGAAGAAAAGGCACATATCCACTATAACTGAATTCACCGTATTTCTCCAAGGGTAGAAACAACCAATCCCTTGCTTTAGTCCTTGACTCCCTTGAATTACTCTTTTTTGATTTGCAGAGTAACTATACATTGTTTTTATTTAAAGACAAAAAATTTGGATGTGCAAGAATTTTCCATTACAGTTTTTAATCAGTCCTCACCCAAGCTTTAAGATACTTATGTGTCAGAATACACTCCTGCTGTCTTTAAGGATCTCCAAAAATTGATGGGGCTGACTGAGCCTCCCTGAGCCTGTATTAGTCTCTCCAGAGGGTGTTTGAAGACCAAGAGACTCTTTCTTCATTGGTAGACAGAGCCTAAAAAGACTGTGTAGCTAAATTAATTATTTCAAACAGGAATCCAAAGTTTGGTGACATGAATATTTTCTTATTGTTTTAAATCACAGGGCCTCACTTCTCATACTGAAGATGATAAGATGCTGAAAAATGTTCTGAAAGTTCTCAAAATTGAAAATATAAAATTGTCCTTTTGCGACAAATTTTTTTTGATTAAAAAAAAAACGAAATCAGAATATTCTGACCAAAAAAAAAAAAAACTCAGCAAAAGCTCCCAGTGAAACCTACAACTTCTCAATTTCTTAACATGAACAATTTGTTTAATTTGCTGCCCATCCTGCTGTTCTCGCCTGCTGCAAAACCTTTGCAAATAAATATCCTCTCGAGCTCTGGGGGGCTTATTTTGTCCTGCGATACTCTATAGCTTCTCAGTATGAAAAAAGCTTCCATACAGTATCTGAAAGATCCCTGCAGGTGCATGAGCAGATCATACTGCAGTGGGATTCACTTTTACTTGCAAAATGGAGTAACACATCCCAAGATGCAAGGTTGGCTGGGTCTCCACATTATTTTACTGCAAATCACTATCCACATTTATTTTTGTACAATCCCAGCCCGTTTCTAACTTCAGTTGCCTGTCCATCACTGACAATGACATCGAAAAGAAAATTACCTGCGTTTGGGTAGCTGTGGTCAAAACCAAGCCTTTAGATATCTTTTCAGTTGTGATGTTCTAAATGCAGCTCTGCATCAGTCCGGGTGTCCGTGTGAGAAGGGTGGTGTATGACACAGACCAGTGTCTCTGCGCTGGCTGAAGATCCGGGTGAGAGAATGACAGTCCTGTCCTAGCCACAGGACCGAGATGCTCTGGCAAAACCATCGTTTGAGAGGAACTAATGGTGCTGGCACTCTTACCTTTAGGTTTCAGCATCAACTTGTTATTTGCAGAAATCTGCAAACTCAAAATCAAAGTTTTGTGATGTGCCAAGGGTGTATTTTCCCTGTGGACCTGAGCGGGCAGCACACACACCCCAGGACCAGGAACCCTTCTTGGGACAGAGGGTTTCTCTTCCAAGAGCAAGGTGAGGGCTCACTGGCTCTTTGAACTTTGGGCCAACATCTGTATCCTGCAGCTAGAGAGCTCGATGTCATGTTGCCTTGAAAACCCTCTAGAGTAACCGGTCATGCTGGTATTTTAAAGTCAATCAATATTGCTTACAGGAATCCGTTTTTAGGTACCAGGCAGGGCCATCACACCACATTTAGAAATGAATCAGGACTCTAACTCACTAGTCAATTTTAGCTCTGCCTCGCGTGTGCAGGGGGGTTGGACTAGATGACCTCTAGAGGCCCCTTCCAACCTTAAGCATTCTATGATTCTATGATCTGAAGGTCTTTTGAGAAAAAAAGTTCGCTAAATTTCTAAATGTAACTCAGTATTAGCCTTTAGCGCCCTCATCATCCATCTGAATGAATGAACTGCCCCTTTAAAGGCTGAGAAGTCAGGTCACAGTTGAGTTCTAGCCAGGACAATGAAGATGCCAATGTCTGGATTGCAAATAAAGAGCACTGCAAAATCAATGCTTTTAAAAAGAACTACAACCTATCCTTTGAATTCAGCCACAAAAGTAGGAAATACAAGCCAGAGTTGAAGAGGAAATGTAGACTCTGAGGGAATAATCACAACAAAACATCGAGCAAAGACAGTCAAGCTATTTCCATGGGTAATTCCACCATTAACAATATTACTGTGGGAGGAAAATAAAATAAAATAAATTCCTTGTGTTTCCAGATAGTTAAATTCAAAACTTTTAATTGTCAGAGACAAATATTTTGTGAAGTGGAGGAGAGAATAGACATGGGAGCAAGAGAAGGGGTTAGGAGTTTCCAAGTTCAAGCTGTAGATATTTCACTGGTTTTATCCAGCAGATCTCCCTCAATAGACCCTGTTTGCCTACAGATAAGTTTGTATTTTCCCCATGACTGGGCTGGAGCCTGAACAGAAAACCCTGTTTGTTTTCTTTCCTCAGTAAAGTCGAGCCATTCTCCTAAGGCTAGGGGCCTTCTTCTGGGGTGTTTCTGCTCTGACTGTGTATTTCAGGCATACTATTTTTCATTCAAATAACCAAAATCTTTTCCCAGCATTTCTAACATTCTCAAAATGGCAGTTACGTGGTTTGCAGGCATGAATCCTGCCAGATTTTGCAAGCCATTTAATAGAAGTAAGGGTTAGTAATTCTTTTGTTTTTTCTTCTCAGAATAGTATCAATAAATCCATATGAATGCAGGATTATCATATATGATATGACATACTTGTAAGCCTATGGAAAACAAAGTGTGCAGTTGCAAAGAAAACCCATTTTGTCATCATATACCTTCTTATCACATACCTCTGAACATCCCTGCCACCTTGAACTGCCACTGAGATGACTAGACTCCTCCTTAACTACCAGTCCTGAGATTCCCTCAGGGATGCCAGGTCTTCATGGGTAAAGATCTGCTCTTATGAAGACCCAGCATTCATTGTTAACAATCTATACACCTGTTCTATTCTTACATGAACTCATTTCTTTATTATTTCTTGAAACCTAACAGAAACTAACCAAGTAGAATTTAGATATTTTATTCAAACCCTACAGAAAGAAATCAAACTATCTAACAGAAAAATATCAAGAAAAAAATACAATATTGCCTTGAAATAGAGAGTTAAATTACTGAAATCTTACATTTCTGTTCTATCCACAGCTGCTAGTTATGGTATGACTTGCACTTGTAGCAGTGTTAAATTATAAAGCAGAATCGCACTACTTCTGCAATTATAGGGCTGCATGTATTACTGCAAGTCTGCAGTACAGATCCAGCCATCCTCTGGCTTTGTTCTTTTGAAACAAGAGTGCAGAGTGCTCAATACAGCCAAACGTGGCCTGTGCAGCTGCAGATGAGCCACACATCCCTTTCACCGTGAATCTCTGAATTTCCATTGGAAATGAAACAATAATTCTTTGAAGATAGAATGAATTAATAGGACTTTTAATCTTTTTGAAGAAGACGATAAAATTCTGATTGTTGCTGGCAAGAATGTTTCTTCTGCAATGTAGCAGAATCAGGGCATTTACCAGCTAGTGTTGGATACTAACAGGGTTCCATAATAATTCTTGTAATATTTGTTAAAAAGTCTGCCTTTGAATACCAAAAGAGGAAGAAACGCAGTGCAGCTATTAAGGCATGCTACTTAGTACAGATGACCTCGGAGGTATGTATCTAATCTTAAATCAGGCCTTGGTGTCTTTCTGAGCTGTCTGAGCTATACCTCAGAAAGACTCAATAGCCTTTTTTCAGCAATTGTTCTGTGCAGCTGGAAAGCTGCTAGTATAGAATGGACTGATTTTCATGACCATAATTGTTCTGTAATTAAAATCAGTCATCTGGAAGTGCCAAGGATTGATTCAGTATACTAATTCTCAGTAGAAAAACTCCTGCCATACTAGGCTTTGTATCAGGCCTTTTTGGGACAGGAAGAGGGGAAAGAAGATGACTATAAAAGCATGCTTATATGCAGTGTTTTACTCAGAGAAGTCTCAATATGAAAATAGTCCCATACCATTTCAACATGCCTATTGCCAGAACAAGCTGGAGAGTCAAAACTAAAAATACAGAGGGTCCAGGGGCAACCAGACAGGTTAGGAAAATGCACTGCAGTTCAGCCTTTAGCCTTTAAACAATTCATTTAACTTTATCCAAAATAAAGAGGTTTGAGGGAGAAAGTTTAGGACAAGTGTTTCATTTGTCTTCGCAGCACCCAAATCTACCCTAGGAAATGCTGGAGAAGCCATTTCTCTCTCTTTTTTTTTTTTTTTTGTAGCAGTGAAGAGTTCCTTGCCATTTCAGATAATCCCAGCCTGCAAAAGAAAAGGAAGTGAAAGGCCTCTCTTTTTCCCATTTCATATGAATAATATAAAGATAATGTCAGAGTTGCTCTGGCTGTCAAGCATCCATATGCAATCTAATTTCAACATACCCTACAACCTCAAGAAATGACCTCTCTGTTCCCAAGGACAAACTGACAATACTCCTTTTGTCTTCCCTGAAAGCTGTCCTGGCTATCAGGTTAATCAGGCTGTCTTTTGTTAGAAGGTAAAGTGTTTTGAGAGACTTGCTTCATACCTTAACCTTATTACAGGCTGCTGTTAAAATAAGGGCTCACAAGCAGCGCCTTCCTCACCTGTTTGCTCAAGGCCCTCCTTGGTCCCAGCCCTTTCCCCACCCTCCCTGCTCAGCACATATTACCTGTCGCCTCTTCCTCTCCTTGCCGTGAAACCCACACATGGGTAATAACTTTAAACTGAATGCTAGAAGAAAGGTGCTCAAACTCCTGAGGTAAAGACCTCAGCATTCATGCTGAATTCCCTGCTGCCTTCTTTCTTCTCAGCCCTCGTCCTAAAAGTGAGTAGTCTGCAATCCTGGTATGTCACAAGGAATTACTGAAGGAATCAGTGGATTGAATTTACTATAAGTCTTCCACTACTAAAAATGCAGCATAATAGAGATGGCATAAAGCAAGTGCAGGTCCTCAACTGAGTGAAACTGCTGAAACTAAACTGTCTTGCAGCTGCTGAAGAAGCAATCTCAGTTTTTTACCTGAACAAAGACAGAATAGGTCCCACAGAGTGTGCGTTTCAACTCAGCAGCCACTTTGAGGAAACAGATGATCATCTGAAGTCCACTAAGTGCTATCAGGATAGAGAGTAAAATGATGTTCCATTCCACTATGTTTGCAGGTTCAGTGCACTGAGACCAAGCAGAGTAATTTGTGAGGTACCTATTAGAGAAAGAGCAACATGAGACAAATTAAATGTGGTACATGCAATTATATTCAAATGCACATTATTTCAGCTGTAATATGTAAAAATAATAATAATAATAATGGGCTTTATATGCTTCAATTCAATGAGATGGGCTCTATTCTTTCATTACACCAGCATAAATCCCGCATGATCTTATCTAATTCAGCTGAGTAAAATGCCTTACATTGCTGTAACTGAAACCTGATACTGGACCAGAGTTCCTCAAATGCATCTGCTTCACTGATTTTTCTCTGATATCCTTGTCACATAAATGTTAGAGCAACACTGGCATTATCTGCAGATGGCATAAGCCAAGTTTAAAACAGGAACATTCCCTCTCTTAGTTTAATGCAGATTTTTGTTAAGTCTAGCTGCGATCAGTACCAAGCACTAGTGAAGAACAGGAATGCGTGTGCAGTGCTGCCGCGAGTGCCACCATCCACAGCTTCCCCTTGCTCTACAGCCACACTTTGCCTCCCCTGGGATCTCATCATTTGCACAACGCACATTTGCCAGCTGTGCACTTCTAACTGGGAGACATGGTACAGCTTGGGGTTAATTCCATGCACCTTCAGTACAATTACTCATTTAGTGCCATTTTTTATTTCTCTAAACATTCACAGCTCACATGTTTGAGCTGAATCCGAACACTTCATTCAACACCTTTTACATGGAAATGATGCTCCCTTTTTGCATACCTCTGTTTCTAAATGGGATATTGACATATTCACATTCCATTTCTAAGTGGAATGGTAATGATGGCAATATGTAACAGAAATTGCAGATCTACTTCAGTGAGGACATACTTACAGTTTGTGAATGGCTATTCCATTATTTTATATAATACATATATATTTCTACCGTTGCTAAAGAAACTTATTTGTGATCTATTTGAACTAAAATGCAGCAGGAAAAGTTTGGCATGACTTGAAATATTAGAATATTACAAACTTCACTCTTTCAAAGGGAGAATGTAAAACCTTGCCAAAGCAGTGCCTCTGCATCTAAAACCAACCAATGGAAACCGTCCAGTTGATGACACGGGAGAGTTCTTTGAGCTTTGAGAATTAAAGAGAAAATTACTCTGTTAATAAATACAAAAATGCCACCTATGATCCTTGAACTAAAAACCTGAGGAAATTGAGCATATATTCTGAGGAGGTATCCATCTACCCTCAATCCAGAGTTATGCTATTTACTAGGTATGTGACTGACCACTGCCAGGTAAGGGATGCTTGGCTAGATAGACCTCCAGGTTTGATCAGGACAGAGAGTCTTAGGTTTAAGCTTTTCTTGTGAGGATGTAAATCCCCTTTTTTGAGGATTCTGGCACACATTTAAGAAGTTGAAAAACTTCCCTCTCACAATACAGGTCATGTGTTCAAGAGACTATACCATTTTCTGTAAAGTTCTGAGAGGATTTGTTGGACTTCTGTTTAATAGAGAGTTTCTTACAAGAAAGTTAGACAGATGTTTCTTACCCTCCAGCGGTGTCTCTGAAAATATAATCCCATCCAGTTGAGGAATTGCAGAAGGGGCCTTGGAACAATCCCACAGCAGAAACGATAGAACTATACCCAGAGAAAGCAATCCCAAGCACAGCTAGCACAATTGAAATAAAACTCTGAAGTGAAGAGAGAAAATATTACAGCACAGGGACAGTCTCCAAAGTAAATAAATTCATTCACCCTACCCAGCTACTTCCTCAGGGCTGAATTTCAGATGTGTTTTTCCCGACTTTCAAAATTCATAAAGAAAAATACCAAGTAAAGAACAGTAAACACGTACTTAAAGAATAAAAAATACGACAGTTTTTAATACAGCTTTACCTCTCTCCATTATATATTGTTCTGGGATTTTTTTTAACTTGCTTTTTTGCTGAGTTGCATCCCAGAATGCTAGAAGAACACACATTAAACATGCTTACATCCCAGATGATGTATATTGTGTTGTTACTGGAAAAATAACTTTCAAATGATACAAACAAGGTGATTAAGCTATTCAGTGAGAAACTAGATGAAAACTCTCAGGTTCTTATATTATTTTGACAAATCTTAGTGTTTATTTTTTCCTCTATCCTTCCTATGTATCAGGAGGAAGAATCTACACTTTCTATGACCTCTCAATCCCACTGAATCCTTCTCTGTTAAAAGAAGCAGAAACAAAGCAGAGGAGAGGGCAAGGCAGTACTCAAAACACAGGAGGAGGAAGGCGCTTGGAACAAATGCTTAAGAGATACAAAAACAACAGAATGACTCACCCTGTAGGTTTTATTACAGCTCTCACTCTGGCAGCACCGATAGAACAAGTTACTCTCCAGTGTTATTAGAATTACTGCTAACAAAAGGATCTGCAAAGGGACATCACAAGGTGAGCTAAAGGACTGCACATACTAAGCCAAATTCCCTCTGGTGTGTGCAAGGCAGGAATTGTGCCTGTTGAGATTTTTCCTGCAGCTCATTAGGAACACAAACATCCTGAAGGCAAAACATGGACCTGGACTGCATCTGTTTAGCCACTGCTCTGCTCTTGAAACGCAGGAGTAGTGTCTCCTATCACAGCAAAATGCTGCCAGGATGGATGCAGCTATTGTGGTAAAGCTGAAAGACTGAAATCACTCAGAAGTAAAACTAACAGTGAAAGGAAGGGTATTTTTTTAATACAACCATATCGGTTCAGTGTTGGCTCTTCTGCAGTTAAACAGTCAGGGCATCTCCTTCTATTAATAGGGCTAGTCTACAAAAATGCAGTGGTACAAGCTTTCATTTTAATCCACCTCAACTCTCAAGTGTTTTCTCTGTCAAGTATCCATACCATCTTTCTCAGAATATTGAACTGCCACTCTGAGAAGTACTGGAATGAATGGGGACATAAGAGAAGGAAATGTTTCCGAAACTGAGGACAGACAGGAGACGCCCCTGGTTTTCACACTTCTGAAGGCTAGAGGTGAAGAGAAAAATACATCAAGAAAAACGTAACTCAAAAAATTATGGTAGAAGCAATACCAGCATTTTAAATAACCTATTGCTTGAAACTACTTAAAATGCCCTCAGCCACAAGGATCTTTGCTGACATTAGAGTTTTCATCACTGTGACGGGCTCTAAGAAAAATTCCAGTGAGGGCACAGCACTATTGTCTCATCTGTTTGTGCCTTGTTTGTAACAGGTTAATTTAAAAGTTGTTAATACATGGGTAATGATTCTGAAGCTAAAAATGTTTAGAATATGAATCTAACTTTTGCGGTTAACCTTTTCCACATTTTAACTATGCTTTTTCCTTTGAATTCCCTGCCTGACAGCATTTTCTTTCTTGCTCTAGGTCTTCTACCGGTTTGGGATTAACATACAATTTCAAAAGAAGATTTCATATTTTAATATCTCTTCTTGATCTGTACTTTCATAAAAATGTTCATGCACATAAGCCCTCTTTGAAAGGCCAATGAAAAGAAAGAAAAAGCCTGTTTGTAAGCACTTGTGTGACCGTACTGCTCTCTGTCCAAAGGCTAGAGCTCTTTGTGTAGATAGTCAACAATGTGAGCAGCACAGAACTCACTTTGTTGCTACAAATAAGCATATTGCAAATGCAATGCGAAAAATGTTACCATGCCAGTCACAGGGACAAACAACCTTTTGTATTTAGCCTGAGAGTTCAGCCTGATGTAAATCTTGATGCACCGTGAGCTGTAATCCAGCCTTCTGAAAGACTGTATAGAGCTCATAAAGAGATCTGAACAGTTTGGGCGGTTTTGTAGGTTTGGTTTGGGTTGGCTAAAACAGTTTTAATTCAAATGCCACAGAAAACAAACCAAAATAGTACATGAGCCAATAATAAAAGTGTAACTTACACATAAACAGAAAAATCACATATATGAAATTAAGTAGCTTGCAGTGTTTTTGCCAAAATAATCCATATTCCCCTTAAAAGCCAACTAGCAAAATTATACTTTGCTGCACAGTAAGCCAAGACTATTTGCAATAGAATGCAATTCATTACAGAAAAACAAAAACAAACAAAAAAAAAACCAAAAAACCCCACAAACAAACAAACAAAACAAACCTCAGAATCAGCACTTACCATCACACCTGAGAAACAGATCCCTTCAAAATACCACACGTGGTTGGGAAGCTGGTAACTGGCAGCATATGAAGTCTTTCCATTTGGGAAGTATAATAGGATGTTAACAACAATACTCCAAAGTGCAAGAGGGATCAGCAGACAACTCAGGCAGTTTCCACAAGTCTCTAATCCCATCTCTCAGAAACCTTAGAAGTTTGCTCTTCTAAGCCAACAAAAAATTACAAGATTTTAAATTATCAAAAGTGTTTTGACTGCCCTAGCGTGATTCAGTCATTTCAGAGTCACAAGAGCCTGGTGACCAAGGCTAAAGAAGTGCTTAGCTGTTAACAGAAAAACAGACAGATGCTGCTGTCTGAAGGCTTTGTCCTTTCGGACAGTATGTCTTTAAGCAGCAGTTTCCGTTCTAAAAGCTAACTAATTCCCCAGCGATCTTCCAAAGTGCCTCTAGACATGAGACTCAGGAAGGAACTTCAAACTGTGTCACAGCATCATCACCTCCTAAGTCTGTATCTGGCAGTTCTCATTTCCTAGAGACAGCTTAGAAACAGCTCCACCTGAGCGCTCGCGCTATTATGTAAATACTTGGTGACAGGAGGCAGAATACTCAGCTTCACAACATCTCAGCTGTTGCTACGTTCCATGGGGAAGAGGTCTGTCAAATGATAAATACATCCCTTTACAGAAGGGCTACATGTTGTCTCACACAACAGAATTAATGTCAAAGCTTGGCAGATGCTGGACCAAGGGTGACAGCCATTACTGCCGGCAACCTGTATCCACAGGGAAGCTGAACAAACACCAGACCAAACTCTAAGCAGAATTACTTTCACACTTTAATTATTCTTTCCAGTGCATTATCCAGTGAGCTGTTGTCTGATAGTTCTCTAGCTGTTTTATTCCGCACTCTTATAGTTGCATATGTATGGGTACGGATTTGACCTAAGTACCTGTGACTCCTCACACAAAGGCTTGGCTGCTTTTGGAAGTTCCTGGCTGGTTGAACTGTAGAAAGTCAAAGTCAAATGTTTTCCTCAGTTTCATCCGTCATCATTTTGACAATTCAAAGCAGTTAAGCATTCGGCCCTGTAAAACACAGGCAGGGCTGTTTTACTGCCTGCAGCATGGCTGTGGCCAACTCAACACTGAGTACATGGTTTGCTCCGTAAGAGAGTCTAGGTCAGAAAAAAAGAACAGAAAAACATAAAAAAAACCCCTTTCTGCTCTGTGAAAAGGGAGAAAGCTGATTTTAGAAGCAATGATGTCATGATGTATTTTCCTTTTGTTTCTTCATGAGCTGTTTTAGGCCCTGCACACATTAGGCGTGTCTCATGATCTCTTTAAAACTGCATTAGCTCTGTTGGGATTGCATACCCACTGCTTTCCTACTGCTTCTGATGAGGTCACCCAAGGAAATGGGGCGATACTGCTGCTACAGTTACATTTTTCCATCCATATTCTGTGACTTGCCTTTCTTTGCTTCCCTCTCTGCTTCTTCTAAGATGCTTCATTTTGAAGTCCTCAGACTTTACTCAGAGGACCTTACTACTCCCCTGTTTCCTGTTTTACTCCCTGATCACCAGAGGCACTGTTTTAGGCCTCCTCCTAACTGATGTTAGCAACACCTTTCCTTTGCATACACACAGGCATGGGCAGAACTCATGCTATCGAAACTGTCTTACAGACCACAGCAAAAAAATGGATGAGTTAAAAGCAGGCATGTCACATGGAATCATAGAATCCGTAAGGTTGGAAGAGGCCTTTAGAGACTGTCTAGTCCACACGCAGGGTCACCTAAAGCATGTTACACGAATTGTGTCCAAGTGGGTTTTGAAGATCTCCAGCGAAGGAGACTCCACCACCTCTCTGGGCAGCCTGTGCCAGTGCTCTGTCATCTCACTGCTAAGAAGTTTTTCCTTAAGTTCCTGTGGAACTTTTGGTGCTTCACTCTGCGGCCGTTTCCTCTTGTCCTATCGCTTGCCATGACTGAAAAGAGGCTGGTGTCATCCTCCTCACTCACTCCCTTGAGGTAGCTATATACACTGATCAGGTCCACTCTCAGCCTCACATAAACACATATTCTCAGAATTCATTTTTATTACAAAATTCAGAAGCCATATAGTGGGCCAAACTCTATAATTTTTCAAAAAAGCAAAGGTGAAAATTACTGATCAGATTACCTTTTTATCCAATTTGCTGCAACTATCCATTGCAATCTGTTTTGATTAATAGAAATCTAATGGAAAATGACATCTGACACACAGAGTTCATTCTGAGTACAATACACAGCATGGTTTATTTTTTATTTAAACAGAGCTCTGCAAATACCAAATCAAGCTTTGTTTTGTTGATGACATGCTGACTGCCAGAACATGAAGCAACAATTTTATATTAAGTATTAGGCAAACCTGGCAAGCCCCAACTTTAGTTTCTCATTACTATGTGTTGCAAGAACCACATTTTCCTGTAAATATCCATGATGATGAGCCCATTACCATAAACCACTGTTTATTCTGGGTGAAAGACTTCTCTGCTACCTGTTTTTCTGGGATTTAACTGGTAAAACTCCCCAAACACTCTCTTATGCATTAGGCATCGAAGGACTTTGTTTGGATTATTTCAAAAGATGACATAAAACAGTGATTTTGCAGTAATACTATGCATCAATGCTACATAGAGATGAGCTACAGTTTTAATTCTAAATCATAGGCTAATCATTCTGATCTGGCATTCCCTATACTGATAGAGTTCTATGATTAATTAATATGTATAAGAAACAGATGTAACAACCATGCAAACAATAAAGACAAAATCTCTTTAAGTCATGTGGGAACTATATCCTATTCCATCAGGGCCCTGCTTTTCCCTTCCTTCTCCCTGCCACTGAATACCCAATTTAACCTTTTGGACACTTTCAGTCCACTTATTTTTCTGAAATAGGTATTTGTACTGCACAGATTTTGCTTTGAGAACAACCTTGGTTTCTGTCTACCTTTAAGGACCATCTTCCTCATTACGAGCAGTACTAAGTATGCATTGTAACTGCTGGTATTCTTTTTCCTCTGAGCAGAAATTAACTTGCCTCATTTTGAAAAAAAGCAGAAACTACTAGATTCTAAAATGTTCCTGCATTCCTTTTTTTTCCTCAAATTAAGTGGCTTGTCACACTATTTATTGCAAAATACCGGTATGTTCACTTGCAAAATGCCATTGCCAGAAGCACACCAACCTTGCCAGAAACAACGCTGGCAGCATATTTAAACTCAATGGTGATAAAACATCCTCTGTAATATCCTACGACCTAATCTTCAGAGGTTCTTACTGAGGTTAGAAGA